TGTTTTCTCCACAGGCTATCGAGCCCATGAAATGTGTGTCCTTCTGAAGAAACCGAAGCTGTCCTATCTGGTTCTCTGCAGGCTCTTCAAAGCTCTCTTTCTGAGCATCAGCTATGATGCAAATTTATGTTCCCATATGGATGGGCTAAGGAGAATGGTGTATGGAGAAGAAATCTAATAGGGAACTGTGGGAGGTCGATGGAGACACAAGTATAGTAAATATAAAGAAATCCCAATGACTTCAGTGGGCAAGGCATGTGGTTACAATGACAGAAGACAGACCAATGTCTCTAGGAAGTGTCTCTAGGAAGGACATCATGTTTAAGGCCCTGTATAAAACAATTTTTTTTTTAAAGAAAATTCCCGACAGTTTGCAAGGAATGAATTTGATAAGCACATTTAGTCAATTGTAAGGAAAAATATGTAAAAGATCACGGTTTGGGGGCATTTTCTCGATTTCCATGTCGTCCACAAAAATGTGATTTACACAGGGCCCTATTTATGGTGTCTGACCTCATGGCTGACCAAGGAGGAGATGGAGGGATAATACTGAGCCATACCTAACAGCTCTTAATGTGAATTACTATCGATGATAACAATGTGCCCTTGACAGAAAGAGGTGGGAGGCACATTATGAGGGCGACCAAGGACTTCCCTGGTCTATAGAGCCAGGAAGTGAGGAAGTATGGACAGGCTAAGTTTGGCTTTTTGCTTTGGTTGGCTGGTACTTTTCTTCTGAAGTGAATTTCTTCCTCATGAGGAGGCAGTTTGGATCCCCATACTTGGGATGCGGGTACCTCTGTCACATGGCTCAGAAGTGTCAACTGGAGTCATGTGGCAGCCTTATTTCCTCCCACCCCTGGCAGATTAAAAGACTGGTCTGTCTCTTATTAGATATCAATCTGTAAGAACTCTCTCTGAGCCACAGCAGCTTCCTGAACACACTTGTTCTCACAACTGTTCCTTCTGCTGGGGCATGTTTGTCTGTAGTAATAGGTTGGCCACCTGGCTTCTATATGCACTGCTCCTGGTGCTTTTCCTTGTCAATGACCAGCTGGAAAGGCAATTAGCTATCCACAGTGGACCTTGCAGACACTTATATGCACATAGGGATACTTTGCGCACCTAGGAAGGACCACAGTGGAACGTCTCTATCCACTCAGTGTCCTGTCAGGCATCCTTGAAGCCCTTCTCCATAAACTCGTTGACCAAAGATCCTCGGAGAGAAAAATAGGATAGATATATGAGTGGAATGATGGATGGGAGGATAGAGAATGAGACATGGAGAGAGGAAAGGAAATAAAGGGATAGGGGAGAAACACCTCAGAATAAAATGAGTCGTGCAATAATTCTCCATGATGTCTAGGTACCAAGATTGTGTGCAAGTACTGAGCTGGCTGGAGCAGTTGGCTGTTGTGGAGGAGAGAATCATTGGGATGGCTTGTTTCTTTTCTTACTGTTTAGAACTCTTGCTTTATGCTGGTAAGTACTGGGTAATGAGGACAACAGATAAAGGCGTGCTTTGCAAAGACACTCCTGGACAGGGATGGTTGCCATGTCAAGACTGCCAGAAAATGGTGGCGCCATTCTGGCATCTCGTTTGTGGTTAAACTGCAATTGACATGCTTTTAAAGAAGAGAGCTAAAAGATTTAACAGAAAAGGGGTTGTTGCTCCGATGAAGGGATGTTGATATCTGTGTGAACGTTGACGCTTTTGGGATATTCTCATACAAATCTGGAGCCTTATACTGGGAGGTGGGAGGTTGTAAAGTTGGCCAACAAGGCTAACTGGGGTTCTGCAGACTTCACTCAGCTGGCATGGAGGAATTCCCCTCATCTCTACCCCAATCACCCTGCTCCTTTTAGCCCCCTGGCACTCTGCACATCTAAAGCCTTGTGTACACTTAAAACCTTTGCCAGTATAACTATATCAGTATGGCTGAATTGGCAAAACCCTGCTAATGGAGATGCTGTTATACCAGCAAAAAAATTCTTTTGCTGATACAGCTTATACCAGTTTTGTGAATTACATAAACTGTACTGGCAAAAGCCCTTTCCCCGCCCAGTATAGCTGCTACGTGCTAGGGCTTTGGCTGGCACAGCTATCTCATTAAAAAAAATCACTCCCCTAACTGACTTAACTAGGCCGGTAAAACATTGAATTGTAGACCTGGCCTAAGGTCTCCAGGACCACAGCTCCCTTCGTACAGACTTCAGCAAGCCCACAAAGTGAGGGGACTGGGTGAGAACAGGGGGCTTGGCTGGGAGATTAGGTGGTCACTTCACACCACCTTACAGTGGGTTTCCTGAGGTCTGCAAGAGGGGAGAACTCCCTTCTGAACCTTTGAATGGCGGTGGGAAACCTTTTTCTTTGACAAGTCTAGCCTCTTTACTGATCTGACTATGCTGTGAGCTCTGCTTCTGCATGGGAAAGGGCTAGAGACTTTCCTTGCAGTGAAAGTCTAGGGCTCCAGCAATCCTTTTACATGCAACACCAATCTAGCCAGTGTCGGAATGTCTGTTCCTTGGAGTATCTGTTAAACATGTTTAATAACGTATTATAGGTTACTCTCACAATCGTGCTCAAAGGCAGTGATCTGCTGAAGCCAATTCTCTTTGGGTTTTTGGTTGTGGTTATCTGTTTTTTTCCCCTACAAAAGTGGCAACAAAGTTGGAAGAATTTGAAACTCTCTTTTTGCTCTATAGTTTAAGGAGGTCCTCTTTCAAAAACACCTTTTAGAAAGAGAGGGATGGATAATGGGACCCAAGTGGCAACCTTCCTTATGGAAGAACTGCTGCTGCTCCACAACATAGGAATTGCTTTGCCCATCCCTGCATTGCATCCATTGTGGAGAACAAATGTAACTCACACACCTCCTGAGCATAGGCGTGCACAGCCCATTTCATTAGGGTGTGCACCCAGTGAGCCCCGTCCTAGCCCCACCCCCACCCTGCCCCCATCCACTCCCTCCTACTTCCCACCCCCTGACTTCCCCCCTCAGAATCTCCAACCCCCCCTGCTCCTTGTCCCCTGACTAACCCCTCCTGGGACCCCTGTCCCTAACTGCCCCCCAGGACCTCACCCCCTATCTAAGCC